GATATAATTTTAAGATACACAGGAAACTGGAAGCGAGATAACAGTTATTTTTAGTTATTCATAACATAGGGAGAACCAAAATAGCTTAGATAAAAAGAAATCCAGAGATACTTCCCATATCCCTTACTGGTCAACAGCTTTATAATCTTTTCCCTACTAGCCAACCCATAAAACTACAAACAAGACAAGCTGCCTGGTGCTGACCATTTACTGATAACTTCTCTAATGGAGATTATAAAAAGCAGTGAAAACTACGAAGCAGAATAATAAAGAAGCTAAGGGCCCAGATAATCTACATATCTGACCATCATACAATGAGCTCAATTGCTCTAGGTAGTCCTACACATACTATCTATCTATCACTGATATTTCAGCAGAGCAAATAAATAAAATGCACCCCTTAGTCACAGAAGCATGACTCATAATTGAGAAACACGTATGATAACCATCCACTAATTCCCCCCAAACTAGATGCTCAGCACAGACAGGAAGATAGTTCAAAATATAAAGGTATGCAGTGGAGGAACATCTAATCTAAACTTGGAGCTATCACATCATTCAATGCACATTTAGTAAGTGCACATCATCACAGGCAGTGAAATGCAAAGATGAACAAGACAGACTCTCTCTCAAGAGGATAACAGTTTTGTTGAATTACATGTAAATGAGTAATCATGGCTCACCATGATGAGCTCAGTAGAGAAATCTTGGAGAGACTGAAAAAGATGGAAAGAACCTGGGAAGCATCTGGAAGTCTTTGCAGAAGGTGCGGTAGAATAGAAAATATTTCAGTCAAACAAGGTTGGAAACCAGTTCAGCTGCTTCCTAGTAATGTAATTTGGCCAATTATTAAGCTTTCTAAGACTTGGCTTCTCAGTCAACAAAATGAGGATAATAATGTATTTGCAGCAAGCTTATTACAAGAAGGGAAGGAGATATTGTATGTAAAGCAATCAGCATGGTCTCTTGAAAATAATAAGCACTGAATACATTGTACTGATTATTATTATTATTATTGTCTTGAAAGAAGTTACCAGTGATGTCTGGTGACCAGTTAGCAGTAGCCATTGTATCACTGTCCCTGGCTTCATCACCTTGTTAGGTGCACATGTATTATGTTCAGTCCCAATTAATATATTGGCTATGGGCTACCTACAACTAGGAGGGCAAACCAAACAATGTAGTTTCAAGAGTCATATTCATAAGCCACCTACTTTCTATAAGGTCAGAGTTCATTAAAGAAGAATATGGCAAGATTACTACCTTAGTGATATCAATAGGAAGGCAAACTCTATGGACATTATACTAGTCAATACACATAGTAGCAATTATTAGTATATCTGAGTAACACATTATTACCAACTGTTAACACATGGTAAATATGGAATAAGAAAAAGGAAAACTTTCAGGAGTTTAAAATGGCCAAAAAAAAAAAATTACAGTCTAGACAGGAGGCATCATCAGTGTACTAAAGGGAGGAGAGAGCGGGATGTAATGGAAGCAGCATCTAAGAACCCTGTAGCGCCAAGCCAAAAAGCTCATCTTTGGCCTAGGGGTAATGGAGAGGCATCACAGACTTTAGATGAGGTAATATATTTTAATCTATCGTTTAACCTATTGTTTCTACTTTACACCCAAATTTAGTATTACATAAGATCATTATCATGTTTCTTCAGTTCCAGAGTGTTTTTCATATACACGTGAGCTATCTCTTGTCAGCTTCACAGTCATTTAAAACGAATCCCATGTTGTTTAAAACAGCGAAATGCTAAAAATAGGTTTTGTAGATGTTGTAGACACTTGACTACTTGTCTGCCTGCCTGTCAGGGATTAAGAATTCTCCCTCTCTTCCATTTATTCACTGCAGATTTATTCAATATCTGCTACATAGCATGCCACACATAATACTAGCTCTTGATAAAACCTTAAAAGTGCATCCTGTGTTAACTATAACATGCATCTTTTGTTCCTATAAAATTTAATAAAGTGCCAGCAGCAGATCTATTTTTCCACACCACACTTTTAAATAATGATAGAAACTTTGGTGCTTTCCTTTAAATGATTACCCCTTTAAACTGTTCAATAAAAAAAATAGAAAGTTTTAAGCTGGTAAAAGGGTTTTTAAAAGATCTCGAGAGGGAGGTGAACGGGAAGTGAACAGGTGAAGGAGGGAAGCAGCCGACAGAAGTGCTCTATAATTGAAGCCTGCAGCGTGAAGCATCTTTCAGAAACACAAGAAAGATGGGTGCTACCAATGTAATTGTCAAGAAACCCTCACTGTAAGGGCATTAAAGCATCACAGTAGTTATTTCAAGAGTGGGTTCCTTCTATCCACGCAGTTTAAAATAATCCCCGCCTACCATTCACTGGTGGTTTTTGTTTTGTTTTCATCTTTTCTCCAGTTTTCTTTTTTTCTTATTGGTGAACACTCTTCAGCACTCTTTAGATAAGCCAAGCAATTTCTTTAGAGTGGTCTAAGCCTAGCAAGAGGGAAATGGGGAAATATAATGTATGGGTGGGTACAAGCCGAGGCTTGCCAGGTTAGGGCTCCCTTTCCTGATGTCCTTTCCACCCTGGGAAGCCAGTGGAGCCTCTGGAGATCAGTGACCTGTCCTGTTACATAAGCATGTGCTTGTGGAAGCTGCAAGCTCTGGGCTCTTCCCCTCATGGAGGACACGAAGAACTGCCAAGGTGTGAAGGTTTTGTCAAAGTGACAAAAGCAGATCTTAAAAGCTCTTACTTTTGAATGGTGTGGGTCTTTAATTCTTGCATGCCTTCACTTGTTTCATTTTCATCTGTTTCCTTTGGATTTCTTTCTCCCTTCATGTGGCACAACAGAACTGCTTAAAAGTACATAAAAATGTACTTCCTGCTTATAAGGTACACAGGAAAGAGTAGCTTTCTTTGGGACAAACTCTCCCCTTAGAAACTCATTTACTTTGTCATCTTCTACTGCCTGTTTTGGACAGTATGTTAATACTTCAAAGACTACAGAGTGGTTGCTACAATTTATTTTATGAAGAAGGCTCTTTTTTTATTCATTCTTTTATTCACTCCTCGATTGAGCCATTCTTGGGTGGGGTAGAACCAGAGATGAATATGACTAGGTTCTTTACCCAGAAAAATGACAACATAGGAGGAAAATGAAAACAAGAAGAATTTTAAAAAGGAACTATTGTGGCAATCAGATCTGATCATTCTAACCACAATCTATAAATTAAACATCTGGTGTTTTCCAGGTAAAATGTAAAGCTGTATTTATCATCTTGTGTTGATTTTTTAGACACTCTCCTAGAGCATCTATTCAGAGGTCAATGACTAGCACTACTTCAGGTGCTGAGCACTAGGATTTTCTATAAATATGGTATTAATTTCTGCAATCTTCCAATTTTAGTTTAAGTGCTGTATTTATTGCAAGAGCTATTTGGTTAGGCATCTCAGAGTCAATAAACAATTCTTTCCTCTTGTTTTCACTCATTACCTGAGCTTCTCTGACTACCCACTACGATTCCTTGGATCCTTGACAAAACTGTTCATTGATTAGATATTGGCAGGGCTTATTTCCCCTTCTACTCACCCCATATCTAGCATGTGTCCTGGTTTTCATGATGTATGTCTCGTATCTACTGCGAACACGTCAAGACTGCGGGAGTCTCAGCATATTTGCTTTTTACAGATAATCACTTGCTTTTTCAAGTGTTGAATCAGAGTTAAGTAAAAACTGACATGCCTGCGACTTAAATAGCAAATCAAAACTGCCCCACACTGTCCAAAGTACTAAAGTCCCCATTTAAATTGTATACTTTTACTAAAAAATCTGGCTAGGAATATGTAAATAACAAAAGTGAAATTGCTAAATTTCTTCATGACATATTTATAATTAACAATCAGATGGCTATCAACTCTGTTTCCAGAATTTCTAAAATACACTGTTGATATTAGGGAGGCTTTTCAGCAACAAGCTTAACAAGTATAGGCCTCAAATCAAATCAACAGAAACAGTCTTTTAAATCTTTGAATATTCATCTGCATTTATGCATTAAATTTCAGCAACTACACTTGCTTTTAAATTTTTGGAGTGTTATTTTTCTGCACAAACTAACTGCAAATAACACAACTGATTAAAAATATAAGTGACTTGTTCTTATAGTATGCCTATGACTTTCCAATAGCACTTATTAAATTTCTTATCCATAACTGTAAGCCTAATATAATTATTTTATTCTACATACTAGAGTCATGGATCCTAGCATATATATGCTTTCTCATGTACACGACCGGTCCCTGTCCATATTCCCTGCTCATGTGTCATCAGGTGCCACAGTCAGCTGTATGCACAGTCCACCTTCCTAGTTTAATGGTAAGCTACTTGAAGGGAAGCCTCCTGATCCACGGAAGGTATAAAAATGAAACCAGGGATCTCACATTATTACGACTCCTCTTTTCACACTGATTACAAGAGAAGCAAATGGAAGAATACCGAACCCCATGTCTCTCTGACTCAGCTCACCCCTAACTATCCCCTGGCAGAGGGATGGAATTTATAACATCCTCAACCTTACAGCACAGTACCCCACCCACAGGGCTAAGAGTCACAAAACAGGTAATGTGATGTTCGCTGTTGGATGCAAAATGAATGCAATGTGTTAGTAGTCCTGAGCTAGACAAGGGTTCTAAATGGAGGAACTGAGGCAAATGTATGCACTGGAAGACCAGAAGGCTGCAAAAATAACAAAATAAAACAAAACACAAAGAACTGTCACAAGATGGCAAGTACTGGAAAAGCTGGGCAACAGTACTTAATGGTGAGGAAGGGAAACAGGATGTGCAGACTGACAAAGAAGGGGATCTGAAATTCTCAATTCACTCTTGGTAACGTGGGACCACACAAAAAATTGAAAGTGGTTTTAAATGAAGCTCATGTGATAATGCCGAGGCTGCCACATTGTCTGGGTTGGTTTGTGTCTGTGTCAGCATGGAAATGGGGTGCTTTTCCTTACCTCCAGATGCTCTAAAATATAGGGCGGATTTGTCATGCCAAGCCTCAGCATTGCTCCCTCAGGAATCACTTCAACCAGTTTCCACAGGAGTGCGGGGAGATCAGTGCCAATATCTCTGCCATAAGCTCCTGTGTCTTCACTGGTCAACCATATCTCACAAACACCCTCTGTGAATCAAAGGAGATAATTAACAAATCTGCTGCAGAGCTGCTTCCTTCATCATACAGCTGCTCACTCTTTTCAATGCAGTCTTCTCAGCATTATTATGCAGGCAGTCTGTGTATTCAATTGCAGAAAAAAGCAGCTTATCCCATGGAGGCACTGGGTTATTAAGCTCATTTTATGAACACCAAAGAGTTACAACAGTGCTGTAAATTATCAGTGTGTTCTAAGGAACGATTAACATTCAGAGCCAAATAGTTCAGCCATGTTTTCTTCCAAGCACTTTGATCAAGTCTAAAGCTTCGGTCCCATCACAGAGAATACCTATCCTATTGAGCACCACGGCCCTGGAACTGAGCAGTCACTCCACAGCATAGGTCTATCAGCAGTTAGCTCACTCATCAGTCTGCCACCACCCCCAGGAAAAATGTCAAGGGTGGTTAAGGTTTAACTCATAAATTATTAATTATGTAGTATCCACTTCTCCTGTAGTCACTATCTAATTTGTCTTTTTGAGTCAATTAACAATAGAGTGCATCATATGGCTTTGTTCAGAGAAGTTGGTTGTTGTGTATTTGTGCTGGAAAACCTGTTTACTGACAGCTTGCATCCTATTTTCCATTAATCAGACCTTAGGAACATGTATATATGTTTTATTGCTATTATTGTTATAAACAGTCCCAACTTTGAATATTACAGCCTACAATAACTTCCTTCCAAAAATCAAAAGGAAATACTTTGGGATAACCTAGTATTATTGAAAATGAATAAAACAGATTTAGCAGAAGCCACCCAGGGTTGCATGGCACACCGAACATTTCTGAATGCATATTCAATTAAAGGATTAGACTATTTCAAAAGGCCAAATGATTCACAAGTCTCAATAAACAACGAAATGGGCCTGTGGAATTTGTTCGAGCTAAAGTGATCTACTGCTTCTGAAGAACCTCAGCACTCACAAGGCACACAAAGGAAGACTACAGCCTCAACCAGAAGTATAAGCTTCTGGGAAGAATCTCAAAATTATAATTTTAAATTGTCTGCAGTTGACAGAACAGAAGATTTTCTAAAATACATTTAAATATTCCTAGCCAAGAAAGACAACAAATAAAACACACTGCTTTTTTTGTGAATGTGAACTTAAAACTAACAGAATACAGAAGCAAAAAGATCTTCATTCTCCCTAGGGTGTTCCACAGAGGTGGAGAAATAAACATGAAGTTAAGAACACCAATCATTATTCTTTCCTTTAGAATAAGAGATATATTTACTTTATCAGAAAAGTTGGCAAGCCACACAAAAATATGTTCTCTGCCCCCACCTGTCTTTCTCTGACAGGCACGTCCTCTCCTACACCTAAGCAACACAGAAAATACAAGGGTAGAAATAGGATTTTTGTTTCCTGGAATTAAAGAATCAGTGACTTGGCAAAGAAAACAGCAGATAACAACAACAAAAACCTCCATTTAAAAGGTTGCACATGTGTTTAGTATTTGAAAAGCAGTAGTGTTATGAATATGTGGGTTTTCTTAATTTACATATGTAGTTCCAGAAATTAATAAAACTTTGCTGAGTTTTAATAATTTAATAAAAAATTGTATACTCAAAACAAAGTCTCGCATGTTTAAAGGCTCCCTTTATAGTCTTGTAAGTTTATAAATACAATTTTATAAATATTCTCTGCCCATGGAGTAAATATTCTTCAACTGGAAAAGTAGATTGCAATTAGTGGCATCATCTTTGTTTCAATATTACATATGCCATCAAACACTGGACTCATGCAACCTTATTTCTTTTAAATCTTATCACAAAATCCACTCCAGGAAAAGAGATGGCTAAGTAACAACATAAACAGATTTTAAAACACTCTGAAAGAGGTTATAAAAACAGGACATTATCCATGATTTTCCAGTTACTGGCATTTGAGCAACACAATATGAATATTTTAAAATGAACAGAATAATTTTAATTTATAATTTTTCCATCCAAATGGTTCCATGTTACGCCTTATGTAGAGAGAGCAAGTTCCTGGAACAGTGCCTTGCTGTTGCTAGATGAATATAGAAGGGGAAAAATCACTATGAATAGGAATGGAAATAACATCCAAGCAGAAACAGCAGCCAGCTCTAAAGCTGCATAGGTGGGGACCAATAGCCCCCTGGTGGGCTGAAACTTCAAATTAAATCACATAAAGAGGAAGCAGCTGTAACACTAAATCAGTAACAACAGGAATAATGGTCTTGATGCCTCCAAGATCAAGGCTGCTAAAGTGCTCTATATAACAGCAACCTGGCAAAAAACGCAGTGAAATGAGAGAACGTGTGCAAAACGTGAAACCCATGGACTCCAGGAGATTGTGCCTGGCCAATTCAATCCAAAAATTTGTCAAAGATGATTTTGCTCTTAATGTGAGAAAGTTAAGATTTTGTAAGGTTATGTTATAAGCATGAATTCTAATGAGAGCTGATCCCTCAAATAGTTAGGATTTAGAGAGTCATTTCATACTAAAGGTGAAGCTAAATATGGACTCCCCATGCCTGACATCCTTTTCCCTGGAAAGTCTTGTGATTACTCATAGTGCAAGCAGTTCCTGTTAGGTCAGCTTGCATATGAATTCACCAGGGAAGCTGAAGGCGGCAGTCTGTAATCACTAATGGATATTGGGACACATGCATGCCTCTATGTGCACACTTAATTGGCTATACTTATGGACAGAAGTGCTTGCCTAAACAGCTTCATTCCTTAAGGACTTCAGTTATGAGCTATATTCCTTTGCACATTCATTTCTTTATTTGTCCATCAAACATTTATGAGGCTGTTACCTACTATGTGCCCTACAGCAATTCCAGCTCATGACAGATATGGATTTATCATTAAACTTCTGTGATCTAAGATTGTCTATATTATCCAGGAGCTGGTGAGGGGACAGTGACAGACATTCTGTGAACTTCATACACATCCCTAACAGTGGTGGTGGTGGTGATGGGGTGGTGGTTATTGAAGAATGTAGCCTTAAAAACCAAAACGAAGGGCAACTAGGCTGCTGGACATGGACATGATGTCAACCCCAGTGAGATAGGCCCCGTCTGCAACATAATGTGGACTTTGATTAATACATATCAGAAAAACAAACACATGGAAATGAAAAAGAGAAGCAAGCAGGAAAAACTGAGATAAGAGAAGTGAATGCCCAGTAAAACCTCCCATGCCTGTAAAAATAAATACATGCAAAAAAGAAAGTAGTGGCTGGAAAAGTGGGAGACAAAAATTAGCCTCTTTAAGCAACCAAAGAGAAATTTCACTTTCTTCTGAAATTGTTCATCTACCTGACTTTTGTTCATTTTTCTTAAATTGTTCAGTTGATCTGACTTCTAATGAACCTTAGGTTCATCAAATCAGCTACCCTTGTGTTGTGTTAATTTTAGTAAAAAGAAAAGCAAATTCTAGGGAGAAATAAAACATCTTGCAAGTTAAAAAAAGAAGACTCTTTGACTGATCAGCCTACAGTTGAAACACAAAGCTCTTTTTCCCTGAACAGAGAGCAACCACAACCACTGGATGATGATCTTCGCTCCATGGTAATTTGAGATGACAGAGGATGGAAAGAGGGGGAGACATACAAGGTTAACAATAAAAGAAAATTAATTTTCTCAACAAAATATTCTCACAAAAAATCCTGTTTGAAAAATCAAACTTTGCAAAAAACTCAACTCCAAAAGATTATGATTCATTATAATTTTCTTGTGTATGAGCTTAATTATAATACATTAAAATATGAAGATTGATTTCATCTGGTCAGAGAAGTGATATTTCTCTAGCAGATCTTGCTTTATCAAGGGTGACAATTTCCCCCATAATAAGTTGTTTCAATTATTCCATTATGAGTTATCTCTTAAAGTACAGATTACAAAAATGTGAAAGCTGTACCAGGGGTGTCCAACCTTTTGGCATCTCTGGGCCACAATGGAAGAAGAAGAATTGTCTTGGGCCATACATTAAATACACTGCAACACATAATCACAAAAAAAATCTCATGATGTTTTAAGTAAATTTATGATTTGTTTGACCGCATTCAAAGCCATCCTGGGCTGATGGGGCCCAATGGCTGCAGGTTGAACACCCCTGTGAGTGTAAACTATGATTGATCGGATCAATAATTAAAGAGCACTACATGGCAAGAAAATCTGAATCAACTAAACATAATAAAGAAAATCATCTCAACATATGCTAAATCTTTGCCCTGACCTGTGTGACTCAGTTGACTGGGTTTTGTCCTACAAAGTGAAAGGTCACCAGATGGATTCCCAGTCAAGGCACATGCCTGGGTTGTAGGTTCTATTCCCAGTCAGGGCATGTACAAGAGGCAACCAATTGATGTTTCTCTCTCACATCAATGCTTCTCTCCCTCTTTCTCCCTCCCTTCCCCTCTCTGTAAAAATAAATAAATAAATAAAATATCTTTTAAAATGTACTAAATCTTTCTTCCTCAGAAGATGTGTTCACTCTGCTTCTGCCTTCTGCTCTCCATGGCGCTCCCCTTGCCTTTTTCCATTACTCCTCTCAATCCGCCCTCTGTCCTCCACCAGCCCACCAACCCATTCCAGCCTTCACGCTCCTTCTGCTTCAATGGCCAATAAGGAATTTAAATTCAATATGCATTGTTATATTTATTTAATGTGCATCAAATACTTGGTTCTTAATTCCTGATGCTCTTTTTTAAGGGTAACAGTGCATATTAACTACATTTTTACAGGCTCATTCTTCTTAAAAATGATTTTAGAAAATTCAAAAATAAATGTGAACCTCTGTTTAAACATCTGTTTGAAAGGTCGTGGAAATTAATTCAATGGAAATGTTTCTAAGTAATAATATATATAGGCAGCTTTCAGTTATGTAACTTACTTATTTAATAGCAAATTAGACAATATGACTCCTATGGTCCCTTCTAATCCTATCACTAGACACTCAAGGGTTTTACATTTTCCTGTTAGATAAAAAAGGACTT